TTCTGACTCCTGGTGATCCCATGTGTGTAAGAACAGAACTGTGCTCCACGGAGTTTTCAGGGTGGTCTTTGGGTGGACTCTGACCTCCAACCTTTCAGTTAGTAGTCAAAGCTGTTAACCATTTACATCACCCAAGGACTCCTTCACAAATATAGGGTGAGTAAGTTATAGCAAAGGAATTTATTCAAAGAAAAAGGAACTGCAGGGAAACATTATACTTCAGTCCATATGTTTATGTAGGTTTACTAGTAGTGGTAGTAGTACCAGCTGTATTATTTTCAAACTATATTTTATATATTGTAGAATAAAGCAAATATATATAAATGCTACTGAAATCTGGAATTTGCAGTGTAGCAAAATAAAAATATAAAGTAAAAGAAGTCAAGAGGCCCTGTAATGTCAAAACCCAATTGGAATATTAACATGAACTAATGAGGTTTTTGACTTCTGGGTTGTTTGGGGTTTTTTTTTATCTACTTCCTTGTCCTGAAAGAGCTAGAAGTAATGACACCTGAGTAGCAAAGAGAACACCTAGTGTCACTCAAAGAAACCAGAGCTCCTTGTAGAAAATAACTGATTCCAGGTCTATAGCTTAGCAAGTTCTTAGTGAACAAGAGACATTATATGCCAGAAAATAAAGTCCCATTCTGTGGCGAATGAAGTTTTATCAAAAAGATACACTAGACAGCTTGCAAGGGCTATCACTGGACAAATCTAGGACAACGTGACTATCCAAAGTAATATATAAAATTGACTAATATTTTTAACAAATAAAAATCCATGAGTTTATAGTGATACTCGTAAAAGAGACAAAAGAGGAAAGCTATTCTCAAAAATGGCTAATGAAATTAAATGACAGTATTGAAAAATCATTATTTTGCAATATCCAATGTAATCACTGATTTTCAAGCAGGATTATTAATAGATGTTGAGACCATTACAGATTATTTACTAAGGACAAGAGGAAAATGTACCTTTATAATTAAGAGATTTGGCAGATAACAAAATTAGTATCACTAAGAGTGGGGACCATCTGACATTCTGTATCTCTTAATGTGATGCAGGTGATGCATTCTGAGACACACAAACATTACCTGTGAGATATCCTTGCCAAAAATGCTTAATCTGAATCTCATCAAGCCTCTAGACTCAAATTCCTATTTACAGGAACTACAGGAGAGAGAACAAAGGAACAGGGTAAATGGCTTTGAGGAAACTGTAAGACAAATCTAGAGTGTGGAATATTCTACATTTGACTTGAAACTTTCAAAACCTCAATGGCACAGAGAAAAAAGCATGACAGTTCCAGAATAAAAGTGACAAAATAATCAAAAGCAGGACATAACCTCTGAAGAAAAAGCAACTATAAAATATATTCTTAGGACAGCTGGGGAACTTTGAGTAAGTACTGCCCTGGTAGCATAGTGGACTACAAGCTGGGCTGCTAACTGCAAGGTCAGCAGTTCAAATCTACCAGTCGCTCCGTGGGAGAATGATGCTTTCTGCTCCCATAAAGATTTACAGCTTCAGAAACACTATACAAGGTCACTACGAGTCAGAACCAACTCAGTAGTACACAACCACCACCACTATTATATTGTTCCTAAGTGCCGTTGAGTCAGTTCCAACTCATAGCAACCATGTACAGGGTTTCCGAGGAGCGGCTGGTAAATTTGAACCACTGACTTTGCCGTTCACACAGACCTTGTGGTCCAGTGCTTATCCTACAATGCCACACCAGGAATCCACCATCACCATTGTTGTCATTAGGTGCCATCAAGTCGGTACCGACTCATAGCGACCTTATGCACAACAAAACGAAACACTGCCCGGTCCTCGGCCAACCTCACAATTGTTGCCACGCTTGAACACATTGATGCTGCCACTTTGCCAATCCATCTCACTGGGAGTC